CCTGTTATGGCCATTTTGGTAGATCAGAATTTCCATGGGAACAAGAACAACAACTTAAATTATAACGGCTTTAAAAGAACAAAAATTTTTATTTTCTGCTTTTTTTTTCTTGTGATAAAAGTTTGCTAATCTAAAGAAGTTATTTAACCCTTTGTGGTTGTCGTGGGGTTCACGTGGACTCATTTCACAGATTTTCATTCAAAAGTACATCAAAGGCTTTTGTATTTGACCTATCCTTTTATATGATCACTAATCCTATGTCGATTTATGTCATCCTTGAGGGTGTGGGTGTGGGTGTGGGTGTGGGTGTGGGTGTGGGTGTGGGTGTGGGTGTGGGTGGGTGTGGGTGGGTGTGGGTGTGGGTGTGGGTGTGGGTGTGGGTGTGGGTGTGGGTGTGGGTGTGGGTGAGGGTGGGTGTGGGGGTGGGGGTGGGGGTGGGGGTGGGGGTGGGGGTGGGGGTGGGGGTGGGGTGTCAATGTCGACATAGATTTAGTTTAGAGAAGAACAACAGTCACACCCGCAGTCACATCCACACCTACATGCACAATCACAGACACCGACACCCACACCCACACGCTCAAGATTGGGTAAGTTTGTGGTTGTATTTGCGGATGCTGATTGAACGTTATGTGGAATACTTGCGGATATCATCGTCCATTTATTATTTTCAGCAAATCTATTCGATTGAATAATATTTTTTGTTGCATCTGATATGTTTTGTATTTAAATTATTATTGAGATTAGACAAAGGCAAACGATCGTCTTGCTGAAGATTTGCTGCATGTGAAAGACTAATATTTGGCACATTGGGAACGAGATGATCCTGAAAACAATCATGTTAAACAATAAAATATGTTTTATTGTGCACACTTACAATATTAAAATGCTTAGTTGGACGTACGTGACAAGTTGATAAATTTTTGTAATGAAAAAGTATCAGTAGATACAGTGGTGCTCGCATCCAACCAAGACTACTGATGATCGCTGCATACCGCTTAAGCCAAGCAAAACACTGTTCAGCACATTGAGTGTTAATCAAATCTAAATCTAAAAAGTTGAATGCTAATGATTATGATTTATTTATATGTTGAAATACAATTTACCATGATAGGAATACGGTGACATGTTTTTCTTGCACCAGTCTCCCACGTGATTTTTAAAATGCGATTTGTCGATATAGAATCTAGTGCTCTTGAGAACATTTGAAGCTGGCGTATCAACAATAAGCTTGCCAACGTTTTTATGTACAGATCGAACCAAATGACAGCCGTCATCGTAGCATGCTATTTTTGGAAAAGCATCACCAGCAACTAGAGAAAAAAAGAATATAAACTATTTTGAAATAATTTGAAATATTATTATAACTAACTTCGTATAGTATTTAAAAGTAATTGAACAATTTCACGTAAAGTTTCACTTCTGAAAATTTCAGCATAGCTAACGATGATCTTACAATTACTGACCATAGCCAAAAGAGCAAATGATCTAGAACATTTGTTAACATACGATTCTGATTTAGATTTATTAGTATTACAGTTTGTGGCTCCAAAAAATATGTTTTTCTTTGGATGCCAATCTCTATACCTTTTTAATTTACGCTTGCGAAGCTTATATCGTTTCATTGCTGAAGTAACTGCAGTTACTTCAGTTGAAAATCGAGAATTTTGATGTATTTCACAGTGTATTGAATGACGAATAGGTGTCCTCCAACATCCAATAACTAAAGGTTTAGTAAAATCACTACTCAGATAATCAACGTATTTCGTGCGGCAAATTCGCCAACGTGCTTTTTGATGACCATCGATTGTAAATCAAGATGAACAATTATCATTTGATGTTTTACAAGGACCAATAAGGGTCTTATGATTTGACCATAAATAAATAAATCTTGATAAAAGACGAGGATATTGAGACCAAGCCCATAAATTAAATTGATCGATTTCTTTTGGAATAGTAACGATACTACCACCTAAGCAGAAGTCCATTTTGACAATTTTAAAATATATAACATTTGAGCAAATCGACGCATATTCATTTGTACTACTTGGTATTGATTAGTGTTAAATGCAAGAAGATTTAAACTGTCTATTTGCTTTTGCCAGGAATGTGGAGTTGAAACAAGATCAGAGGTGTATCGTTCGATAAGCTGTCTTTCACACGCATAATCACCTCCCAAATAAACATATGAACCATGTTGAATACTTTCTATTGTAAATTTTTTCATATTTTTTTGTTGTGTATAGTTTGGATAAATTAGAATTGGTTCTGCGATTTCTTCGTTGGAGTTATTGGCATGATGCCATCGAAGATAATACACAATACCTATTATAAAAATAATCATAAAAATGATAGTAATCATTTCTTATTTATCATATAAAAAACGAAGAAGTATATGGAATTTAATATTACAAAAACAACAGTTATTTTAATATTAATATAAAAAATATTTTCGTCAAAGTCACTACAGATCTGTTTTATTTCTATAATCTACTTCAGCAATACTCGTTCGCCAATGTATACAATAATATAGGTGATTAGATCAAAGTTTAATTTAATTATAACACGAAATATCTAATCTCTTTCAGATTACCGTTTAATCTTTTATATAATCAACATATTTCATTTTTTAAATCTATGTATATATTTAAATCTATAATCTCCACCTGGTAGAACTTGACCACAATCTGTGTAGATAGAAACTTCTTTTGTGCGAGTATTATCACTATTTAGAGTAATATTACAAACAGGACATTGTTCTGTAAAAGGTAATATTGGATGTGTTTGTGGATGAGACATTAATATATCTTCAAGATTATGAGCATGTTTAATTTGTGGTTTATTATTGGGATTTGAGAAAAATGAAATAAGAGCGCGAACATCAGATTCTTTATGTTGTGAATTGAAGAGCTTTCGTAAATGATCAGTGATAAAGGTAATACGAGTTGGATCTAATTTAGCTAAACGAGTATGTAAATCCATAACAAACGAGACTTCCATTGGATGAAATAGTCGATAGAAATTTATAAGCACTTGAATTTCGGATTCACTTGTTCGTGACATAATTTAAATAATGAATTGAAAATAAAATATGAATAGACAATAGAAATCAAAGAATGAGCAATTTCCTAAAGTAAAAGATGAAGATTAACAAATATAATAGCTTTTACAATATTTTTAAATGTTTTTTTATCAAAGAAAGATTTATTAAATAAAAATGGTGATATAATGAATCAGCTGCTCGTTTAATAATTCATCTAGAATAGTGCAAGATTTTCAATAAATTATGTTCATTTTAAATAGGTTTATTAATAAAAAAACGAGAGCATCTGCTATATAGTTCAATACAATGAGTTACAACCTTTAGTGTAACAATTGCATGAACAAACATAAACACTATAGATACTAAAAAAATCAGTTTTTGTGATACATGAAAAGTTCAGAAAAAAGAATATAATACTATAGTATAAGTGGTGGTTATTGTTTGAATTAGTTTTTATGATTTCTTATGATTCTTTGCATCTCTTCTTTGTTAAATATTTAACAATATCTTCATCGGTAACAACATCTTCTGTGTTGGTAGCTGATGTTACGGTGTAAGTTTCTACAGAAATATAAATATCATGTGTAGTTTGTGTAAATGCATCTACAGTGCATTTTGCTACTGTCTGAGTTTCAATTGAAACAAACATTGGTGGTGTCATTGATGTTGAAGTGTTAGCAAAAAATGTTGAGTTTTCATGAATATTACTTATATTTTGATCTTCTAAAATCTCATTATCTGACAAAGTTCTAGTATTGTAAAGTGAAGATCCATCGTTCGACTAAAGCGTATATGAGAAACAAAGAAAAAATGAAATTAATTATTAGTCTTGATACAAAAATGGAATTTTACTGATGATGAACTTAATGAAATTAAAGATGCATTATATGCTTCATTAGAATGTATTTGGCTCATTTCATCAACATGATTGTCGACAATTGAATTCAGTTTAAGACTGGCTTCTTCATTTTTTTGATTGGATGTATCTATTTTCATTTTTTTTAACGACTGGCATGTATTAACAAGAGTATTATGATCGATATGATTTATTGTTATCTAAAAAAACAAAGTAAGCCTAATTATGAACAATAACGACACATAGATTTTTTATACATTAGGTTTTATTGGTGTAGCAGGTGAGATTGAATTCAGCGATCGCTTTTGATTAGAATGTTTTGTTAGTTGATCTTCATCGTGAAAAAAATTGCTTATTTTCGTAGCAACGCGATCGATCATCTAGAAAAGTCTTATACAAAAAATAGGAAACAAGATGTTGCTTATAAAAATCTAAATAAGCAGACAGCAACAACTGATAATAAACAGTATGCATAAATCAGAAAATTAGAAAACAATGGAAAAAATTAATAAAGCTCATCTATTGCTTCATAGTAATTAGATCAACATGTCTGAATTCTTTTCAAATTGAAAAGGTGAACATAATGTAGCATATTAATGGTTTGATTGTATATTTGTTGATGGCACATCAGTTATGTTTTCAATATCAACACATATCATACTCATTTGATTCTATAAAGAGCAAAATAAAATATGATACAAAAATTGCAGATTAAAATAAATTATCTGGTATGAAAATATATATAAGTGAGTATTGATATGAATGTTCATATATTGTTCTACTTCTAGTAACTATACAGAAAAAATAACAGTGTTTTTTTATGTTCAAACTAAACACGATTGACCGAGTAACTCTTTAAAAGAACTGATGTTTTTAATAAATTCCAATAACTTGGCTACATTACTAATTTTGTATCGATCATTTTGAACACAATTTTTAAATACATATTCATGATTAATGATGTTTGAAAGAATCGAATCAATCATATCATTGTTATTCTAAGTAAAAATAACTGTATACATGTATGTATGTAGTTTATATCAATCACTCACGCTTATAATATAACTGGCTATTTTCGATGCGGGTGTATGGGTGAGTATTTCAGCTTGTTTATTAAAGACAATAAGTGATTGAGTAATGAATGTATCTGATATCTGAATCTAGATGTAGAGTAATGATGATATTTCATGAAATTGAAATTAGGTTCTTTTACTGTTGTCATATATCCCCATTTGAAGTTTTGATGTGTTGCATGGCATTTTGTGCAATAATATTGTTTATCATTATTTTCAATGACTTTCTTTGCGCAACCATTTGTAGAACACATCTGCTATACGCAAAACGAATGAAATAGTATACAAATACGTATTTCATTACCTTATAAATCAGATTGTATTTGTCAATATGTGTACAGATTGCTTTGACAAGAAAGTAAATGTTTTTATTATGATTAGCAACATATTCGACAACAACTTGAGTGAGTGTCTTGTATGGGACTAAAATAAATAAGAGAAAATGATAATAATTTAATGAGGAATATTGTAACTTTGTTGAACACATGTTTCAATGATACTGGAATTTATATGTTTTGTGGGATTTTTAGAGTAATGTTTAAACTATTGCTTTAGCTTTTCTGTTCGTTCTGTATCAATTGAATTATATTTCAAATATGTTGTAGGTGTTGTTGATAGACTTCGACATCCATTGTAATCATGAACTTTAATACCTTCAAAAGCGAGTACGGAATTGTTGTTATCATTGAAATTAGTCGCCTATATAAAAAAGAAGATCATTAAGTTTCTCTGTTAATAATTAAGATTTAATTTTATTAATAATACTTGATCTTGCCAAAGTGTAACAGGTATTGATCCTGTTTCATCAATCATGTGTATCGTTCGTTTGATATAAGATTTCTGATCTATGTTATTGGTTACTACAGCTGGATCGAGCACAACATCAACGATGCCAATAACATCTAATGAATAAATGTAAGCAGAAAACGATAAAAAAAAGAATCAACATTCTGTTGCCACTCAGGAAATTATATTATTTAATCTTGTGTACAATAATAACCGAATCGTTAGGCATTTTTACTGTTTCATTATCAGATGTTTTGATAGCACTTCATAATAATGAATTAATATACTTTTTGTATCATAGCAATGGATTCTAAGAGAAGATCTTATCAAGTGATTTTGTTAATTATTGAAGGTAGTCGATTTTTCTAGTTTATTTTTAATAATTCTATTAACTATTAAAATAAAGTGTAAAGAATCAAATAGTTAATTGTATTCGAACTCATGAAAAAAAAGATGTGACTGTAATCTGATATATCTATCGTGAAAAATGAAATCTGACTATCCGAAAAGTGTAATATACACCTTCACTTCTGATATTGTGAAATTCTATAATAATGATTCTACAGGATGATGATTCTTCAAGCGTAGAAATTACCAATGACAGAATTTGTACGTTGGTTTTGAACATCACAGAGTTGAACAAAGTTATACCGGATTGTCGGAGCATGAAGAAGAGTATCAGTGGAACAATAATTGATGATGGTGTCTTGAGTTACATATATTTCATAATTTGATGATAGTTTGTTGTATTGACGATTAACCGGTTTTACAATAGCTTTAGCAATATGATAAGTCTAAAAAACACATTTATACAAACAGCACATTTTTTTCGGAGATATAATAATAGGAATCAGTATTTTATAATCTTACTGTTCCTGTATTAATGGTTGAATAGAATCGATTGCAATCGTTGTTGAATACAGTAACTCGTATTTCATCAGTATCAT